GTTCGTTCGTTGTCATGTCTGGCTCACGATCCATCGTCGCTGTTGTTGTCGCCCTGCTCTTATCGTTTCTCATCAGCGCGATAATGTGCTTCTCAGTTTTTGCGCATATTTTAAAAAATATTCCGAATTGATTATCAATTCTGTCGGACGCAAAGGTGTGTAGCTCTAATTTTTTTCCGAACTTTTTGAAGGGCAGATCCTGAACTGCTGCACTGGTTAAATAACAGGAAGTCTTTTTTCTTTTTTTTTTTTTAAATCCAAGCTCTTTGCGCACCGAAAACGCTCTAAAAGGCTCCTTGTGATCTTAGCGCATACATTTTGAAGGTTATTTCTTATCGCTTTTTGAGACACACAGTCCAGCTGCAGTACCGAAGTATGTTATATACAACTTAATGGACCGAAACGTCTTGTCTCAGCACTTTTCTTTTTGATATCTTCTGTTTTTCGTACCTTTCTGTTAAAAATTTCAGCTCGGTTGAAGCATTTTGCATGCAAATCATTAATCATTGATAATCGTCAGAAATAGTTGCTCTTTCCTTTGTGAAATCATCTTTGAGTTGCTAGTATTCCTTGTCGTGAACGGAGCCCTTTCTCGAAAACTTTTTGAACTGAGAGGGAAACGAATCAGTCGCCTTAATATCCGGACGCAACACGACATCACTACACCACCGACCAAGAACAATCTTCGAGAAGGGGCTTCGTTGGTGACATTCTCGGTGATGTGAAATGAACCCTTAGTTTTCTTATGCTAGCAAGATTTTGAGAACATCCAGAACGAATACACCAATTATAGCAAAAAATTAGCAGAAATTGAATTAGCACATAAGAAATTTATAACTCAGCATCGAAGAGTCAAGCATAGCTGCGCCCACCGCATCTGGGAGCAACCCGGTAACATCCCTAACATGGGATACCCACACTGATTCTATCCAGATTGCTTTGAATTTCCTGGTAATTGACAATATGACGTTGAGCCAAACAAAACAGCTCCGCAGTAATGATAAAGATCAATCTTCTACTACTGAAAACGCATTCTGCGAAGTCAGAAACGCTTTAAAAGATTTAAAATATCTTTGCTACTTTTTCACTTTCTCACTTGTCTGAGTGTCAGCTGTTCGTTAACGTTTTTAATTTCTAAGAATTTTACGAAGAATTTTTCACTTTTTCGACTTCCGAGAATACAATACTAAAAATCTTTCCCGAACCGTTAGCAAATTTGGAATTTGTTTTAAAAAATAGCAGAACAAAGTTGAGAGCACTTTGGCTGAAATCACCTTTTAAACTTATTGCAACTATCACTGGCAAACGGGAAAGTAAAAACAAATTAAATCCACTGATCAGATCATTTTGCTCATCATGCTGATAACCGATGCGCATCGCATCTTAAGTGTTATCCGCGAGAAAGTAACATAGTAAATTAAGTAACTGAAAACTTTTTAAAACGAAATAACCGTGCTGCAGAAAAGCACTGCTGCTAATTTGCCACATGGTGCAAGTCGAAACAGAAGCTAGAAATAGAAGAAGCTGGAAGTAATTTGCATGCTTGCAAGGAAGGGGCGGGGGGGACATAAAACGAAACTGACACTTATATAGCACTAGCTGCTGCACACTTCGATTCGACGATAGATGGATTTGGAACTCAATTAGCGTCGTTTTAGCATTTTACAAACGAACTTCCCTCACTCTTCCCTTCTATTCCTTCTAATATGGCTATTTTATCGCACCGAACCTATCGCTTTCAGTTTCCATTTTCTTCCGGGCACAGCTGTTTCTCTGCTCATTTACTGGGCTACTTAAGAGAAACGGGGGAACTTCATACTTATCAAGCCAACTTTTTCCCATGTTTTACCTGTGCTATGACGGCCTCTAAATAATAGGTTCTGTACAGAATGTCCCTCAAATGATATGCAGTTCCGTGAACGGCAACCTTTGAAAATGACGATTGTCGCTGTTGATAATCTCTGCGATTGAAGGAGCGGGACATTCTTTGGAAATGAACCTCATTTGAAGACTCCCGTCGAAGGAACCTCTCAAGTCTTACATCTGTTGATTACAAAAAATGAAAACAGTTCAAGAGTAATGACGTTGCCGAACACTTTTTCTGAAAAATAAGAGAAATTGCATGGATAATTTACAGTTTTTACATGTATTTTTTTTTACATTTTTGAAAGTGCAGAAAATTAGATGGACAAAATTCTGTTCATTTTTCTTTTTTTATTTTAGTGAGTGCCTGTTTTTGTCGAAGATTTATTAATCTCTTTAGACGATGAAGCGAAGTTATGATGGCCCGCAGGCTGACCATTGATCAAGACAAATAACAGCTGCATAGCTGAGAAATTAGTTCATGATTTACTGCTGATCTAGATATTCCTAGCATGTTTTCCCCTTTTTTCAACTTCTCGAAAAAATTTTTACCAGATTTCGATCTGTGACCTCAGTTATAAGCCATCTGAGAATTTTGCTTCCCCGGGACATGCAGAGTTAGAAAGTTAGTGTTTTGGCATTAAATTATCAAATATTGGCCAAAAACTGCCTTATATACTCCTTACTTTTAACTTATAGACTCATATTACTACTATTTCACTCAGTCGAAGAACCACCTCAAAAAAAAAAATTCTGAGCTGAAGAGGCAGGATCAACGCGTCTAACAGCCAAGTCTTGCTGAGTAGTTTAGCGCGAAAAATTCGCGCTTTTGCTGGCTATTTATTATCTTTCCTGGAGTGACCGGCTTATTTAACGAGAATTTGATGCATACGGCTTAAAAATATGCATATATAAGCTTCATATTTGTCTACGTAGTTATCTGGCTCATTGCAGAACCGGCGTAAGCTGGTGGTTGTACACGAGGAGCCACAGTATTCGCAGCTGAACACGCGTGGAGCACGGCCCTATACACTGTTCAAATCGATCTATACGAATAACACAGATCGACCTCAGGAATACTCGTTCAAGACCGAACGCAGTACCGAGAGCCTATGCAGCGTTTGTCGAGAGCAAGGATATATGATTGGCGGAGAAAGCGAGCTGACACTCAAAACACCATGTCTGTTGCCTTCTAAGCCAATTG